TTTTTTTACATTAGTAATTCCTTTTGTGCATAATTTTATATTATTGTTAATAATAAATTAATTAAAGCAACAAAATAACCTGAAGAGCCAGTTCGGAGCCAAAATAGCCGGCTCTTTTTAGTGAGCCGGAAATCCCATCACTAGTCAGCTTCAGTCAGTTGTGGCACTAATGACAATGTTGTGCTTTTGTGGTCTGAGGCTGCCTTGAAAAATGCAAACTGAACCAGTTCTGAGGTGTACAAGTAATATATAAATTAGTATTTTTTTTTAAAAAAAATTAACAAAACTAAATAACATATAAACTGTAGTTTATATGTGCCAGCAAATAGATACTTGAAATCCCATTCCTATATTTTAACTTTCAGGTAGCAGCAGCTTTCTAATGTCAAAATCTGCACTTGCATGATTCTGCACAAGTAAGATAATCTTTTATTAATTTTCCTGCTGGTTTCTGGTAAACACAGACTGCTGCTAAATGTTGAACAAAGCATTAGTTACTGCAGGCCACAGAGTCAACCTGCATAACCTATTGGAAAATCCTGTATCCTGTATGGAATGGACTATTTAAGGTGTGCCAGGATGTCCACAGTTGCTTATGCAACTCACCTTGCAACCCACCTCCACTCCTTTATTTCCCACTATTTCTGTGTTAACACTTATTACATCTATTACCACTAGCAGGCAGGCTATCACAACAACAACTAAACTGGCACTGAACAGCATTTATATCCCTTGACCCCAAGAGCCATATCGCCTCAATATGGAGTTGACCTCAACTCTGTCAGGCTGTGCAGGATGTGAACTTTTCTAAAGTATTACTTTTACTGAGTGCGTGTGAAGAAGTCAGGAAAGGGTTTTTATTATATTAAATTTCACACAAGTGAAAATAGGGCATGAAGTGACACAGTGTATGTGTGTCACAACCGGCTAAGAAATTACTTAAATTGTTGGATATGGTTTGACGATCTATGGATGCATCCCCACTGAAACCCAGCTGACAGAACAGCTGCTAAAATAACACTGAAATAAAAGACAATACAGGACTTTATACCCTTTATCCTTCTTGCATTTACCTAGCAAGAGACTTGGAAAATTTGCATTGTGAAATCAGTTATTTGGCCTTTATTTGTTAAATAGAAATTTGGTTACATGTGCATTTATTTCATTTTTTTTATTTTCAAGAAATTTTAGACTTCCTCCCAGCATTGCAAACATCTCCCACACAAACACTGTTTTCCTCACATTTAGTTTTCTTGGTATCTGGTCAGCCTGATCATGACTGCTGTGAGAGCTTCATATGTTCAATGAAAAGGCAAATGGATAAAAATGTATCAGACAAAAAGCCGAAACATTTTTTCACTATTACTGAATGAGCAAGTCAAGTATGTACGTACAAATCATAGTCCATGACGGAGATGTGCAGGCTGACGTGGTCCATACTGTCCGGTGGGATGTCAAAGATGATGGCCTCGTTGTAGGTGGGATTCAGGGTGTTCTTTTTAATGCTCGTCTTCTTCTTTTTCAAACGTCTCCCATCACAGATGAGCGACACTTTCACGTAGGGATCTGATAGGTGAGAGGAAAACAGGATAAACAAGGGCAGAAAATGTGACTTTATAGTTGAATATCATTACGTTTGGACAACTTCCAAGTTGTACGTCTCTTTCAGGAGCAGCCAGAGCAGCAATTATCCCCGAAAGCCTCTGGCAAATTTTAAAAACAACAAAGCTTCTGTGGTTACTTTGACTGCCAAAACATCTTCAAAGAAGTCCAATGAATACAGTGTTAATAGTCTTAACATGAAAGCAACGCTTGGGGAACCAGGAATCAGTAATGTGCATAAAGGTAGATGAGTGAATGTCTTATCTAACCAAAGACAAGAAGAGGCCATAGAAAACTGCTAAAAAGCATGACTGAGAGAGTCTCCTGAATGCTGATTTCAATTTTCATCTGTTAGTAATAAATCACTTTGCATGAGTTATTATACTACACTAATCAGACGTAAGCCACCTTTAAAAAAGCCCGAGCTTACAGCCCGATATGCTTAAAGGCACGGTTCAGTAAATCGAGATAATGGCAGTCAGCTAAATCCACGAAAACTCCAAGGATTAAAATTGCGAATAACATAAAAAAAATTGAAATGTCATTTAAAACTGGAAGAAAATTACCACTTTCACTCTGAATTACACCTAAAGCCTGGCATTTAACGTGCAATAAATGTCACGTTTCATAAGTGGCATCGGTATCGTAGGGAACATGTTTAATAGAAAAGTGGAACAGCGGGACATTAAAATAAACACACCGCCTGAAACTATTTGCTGACATTGTCTTAATATTGCAAGTGCTGCTTATTAATATTTGCTGATATAAACAGAACGCAGCATTAGGGAGAGAGCTTTCCTTTGTTTATTTAATTTGACATGCTCACAATTGGATTCTCAAAGGAGCACCATTCATTTTGAGTCAGTGCAGCTGAAAGTGCAGGCACAACACAACA